AGTACATCAGGTAAGAAAATATCAGTGTAACCAAAGAGACTGATTATTAAGATGCAAGAGAAAAGGATGAAATCTTTTGCTAAATTTGTTAAACTTAAGTTTAGCTTTTCATTTGAACATTGGAATCTTAATACATATGTGTATGTATACATATAATCATATATATGTTCATTAATTGAGGAGAATTGCTCTATAGGCTTATGTTTCCACTGGATGAGGAATTCATATTTCAACCTCCCAGTCTTTGGGAGGATTGTTTTATCTCTCTTGGGTTCTTCCTGGTGTAACTGATGAATGGATTAATCTGAAGTTTACTTAGTGGAGGAAAATGGACCAGAGAGCTGTGTCCACTGTTCAAAAATGTGGTTTTCTAGGTTTGTTCATGTGTCCAGTTAATCTCTGAATTGGTAAAGTGATGGTAACAGCATCATGTTAGTGAGTTCCATTGTTGCAGCTGTAACTTCTGTGTGACTATTCTGTATCATTCCTCTCATCAGAACTGAAATATTCTTCCAAATTAAGTTTAAATATTTAAAAATAATTTTCAATGTGGAGTTGACCAAAAAAATGTAATCATAATGTGTTTAGTAATTTTCTTTGAATTCACTGTTGTTCGTCCTCCTCTTGGACAGGTGCATTTTCCTGATTGGTTAAATCTCAAGCCATAATATACTTAATTTTTTTTGGCTTGTTGCTAGAGCAATCTGTACTGTCTGTTTTGGTTTTATTTTTCTCTCCTCCTTTTTTGACTTGCAAAACATCTTAAACATTTCTAAAGGTATGTTTTGTGGTTTGGGTATTCTTCTAACACGCTTGAATATGCAGCATCCATTCTTTTTTTTCCCTTCTTATTCTTTTGAAGTATTTTCATGAGTCTTTTTAGCAGATGATTCTTGAACCTAGAATGAATTTAAACTTTCTGAAAAGCCTTCCATAAGGCTATATTCTTATGTCAGAAGATAAAAGCAGGAGACTTGCCTGTTGAATTTGTGAATGATGCATAAAGACCTGACTTCACTTTGTATAGTCTAGATTTTTAATAATGACTTAAGTAAGAATAATGTGGGATAGTGTGTACTTAGATTGATATACTTCATTTTGTGGATTTTCTACATTTTCAGGACTTCTCCTGTTCTTTCGAGGCTTTGTTAATTATCTCAAAGTCAGAAATATGTCTGAAAGCATGGCAGCTGCTCACAGAACAAGATTTTTTTTCTTGTACTGAAGGTAAGCAATTTTTAGTGGTAATACTGTCTTTCCCAGGAAAACAAAGAAGAATTAAATACTTAAATAATCAAACTTATGTCACCTAACAGAAGTTGCATGGCTTTTGGACATCTGTCATGAATGTTGTGTATCTTCTACGTGGACTTGGAAATATCTGAATTCTCTTGAAGTCATGGAATTTTAAAGGAAATAGAGCATCCTCCTTGCCTCCAGTCCTCCCTGGAACTAATGTTCAGTAACAAAAGTGAAGAGGCAACTGTTGTTTTTCCTAAGCAAGAAACAGTATCTGCTGCCTGTCAGAATACTGTCCTTTGTCATAACACTGGCTTTAGTAGTCAACCTCTTAGCAAGTTAGGAAGTGCTAATCTGCCTGCATATTAAATCTGATTGACATGGTTCTGAACATGCAAGCAATAGATGAGTTTTTACAGGACTGGATTAAGACAGTCGTGTACAAGTATGATTACTGTGAATGCAACAGTGTGCTTTATATATCCTTCAGGTACCTGACTAATCAGTCTGGCACATATCCACTCAATTTTTTTCTTTTTTTAATACTTTTTATCCTATAGCTGGACGTATTGGACTTCACTGTGTCATTTAAACCAGGATGCTCCATCTGTGTTCAAATAAATTGAAGCCTGGAAATTAGTATTGTAGCATTTACGTTACTCTGCACTCTACTTAAAATGCCGAAATACTGTATTTTGACTTAACTGAGAAGCTGTGTTTGCTGTAATAAAGCAGGTTTTCATGACTTTTCTCCAGTATTGCTCACAGGATTGATATGAAGTAACCAGCAAGACATTATTGAAGCCTGAAAAAAATTTGAGACACTATTTGGCTAGGAAAAAAATACTTCCTTTCATATAAGACAGTGATATTTAAAAACAGCTGATGATAAATATCTATGCTATACTGCATAGTTCTTGATAATGGAAGAAGTCTCTTAATGTAGCTGTAACGTAGTATCTATTTCTAATGTGCTGTTTGGTCAAAATTATTCAGTAAGTTAAAGTTAAATAACTGGGCTTTATAATGCCTTTTAGTAACCAACATAAATTGTCAACTACATGTCAGCATTTCCTTTTTACAGTAGTTACATATTACTCCTTTTCTTCGTAATGTGGTAACCTCTTTAGAATACCAAAATCTGTAGAGACTAGATGGAAAGTATCTGTTAGCTTTCCATAAAGTAAAGCTTAAAAATACTATCTCAAAAATAATTGCTAGGACTGATCGGTATTCGAAAATTGTTGCTTGAAGAGAATGAGAGTATAGGATAATGCGGTGGGGGACTCTGGTCTCCTGCATTTAAAATTCGGCTTTGGGATTAAGCAATGTCTAATTCAGCATTATCTGAAGTTAATGAGTTGTTCTGTCTGAGTTCAGTGTCTTTGAATTTTTTCTTTACCTGTAAGAACCACTGAGATGTATGGGCTGATAAGGTCTGTGTGTCTGTGGAGTGTTTAGAGAGCTGGACACACAAATACTACTTTTTTTGAGGCATCTTTAAGTATTGAAACAAGAAGTTCAGATTAATTGTTATCACACTTACATATCCTTGTTCTCGCATAGGCGGGTAACTTCCTCTCCAGTGACTGTTAGTTTTAATAATTAACAAATATTACCGTTACAGGTACAAAATACTCTCAGGTGTTCTTTTGAAATGATAATAAAACAACGGTTAAGTTCTTGCTTTTTTTTTCTCTGCCATGAGGGGGAAAACAGGCTGCTGCTTTGCTGCTTCTAGGTTTAACATCAGTTAGCAATGCTGCTTCTAGTGAATCGCCACAATGAACTGAAGTGCAGCTCTTTCTTTATCTCTAGACTGCATCGAACAGACATTCCTTTCCTATACCAGTGTGAAACTTCCAGATGATCTGTAACCCTGCGAGTTAATAGGATAGAAGACTACTAAACCAGAAGACAAATTAGTGAAGATACGGCTTCAAAAACAAATGACGGGATGGTTTATGCTCAAATACCAGTTCTGGTCATTCTAGTAAATATTTATGATTACTGCCTTTTGTTTTGGCACATTTGTACATGTGCTTATTAAAAAGTATTGAAGTAAGAACAAGCCATCTGTTAGTATAGTTTAGGTACAGTCAAACTCGGTTAGTCTGTGCTTGTTTTATCTGACAGATTTAAGTGGTAACTTGTTTCACAGCGTATATGTACCACTGCCTTGTTGATCTGAACTTTGAGTACAATGAAATGCATTAAGTGATTCAGATTAACCCATTTAGACAGGGGTATTTTTATATAATTTAGATTCATCTAATGATTGTGTAAAACACTTTCAAGTTTACTAAACCCCAGAATTCCTTGTTGTCACAAACATGTATTCGCTAATATTTTATCAAATTCAAACCAACATGCTGGTTTGCTTAAAATGATACTCCACTTTGAGTCCCCTGTAAATAACTGCATAAATGACTGTTTGAATTGCTTCTTAGGAAATATGTCAAAATATATTTTGTAACAGCATATTCTCTAAATTTTGTTTAATCTTAGAGCTATATACATATTTTTTTGTTAATTGGCTATTAAGGGTATAGTTACTATTAGATGTAATTTTGGAGGTAAAGGCATTGAGTTGTTTGTCTCATCCTAACTTTCCTCATGTGCGTTATTATTAACTGGTTTGGGCTTGAGCCTGAAAGACATTATTCATATGCATGATCCATTAAAATCTTAGAATCGTTTAGGTTGGAAAAGACCTTTAAGATCATCAAGTCCAACCATTAACCTAGCACTGCTTTGCTCATATTACCAGGGCTGGACAGTGTTACATCTTTAGTCCTTGGTCATGCAGTTGGATCCCCATAGGTGCACCTTTGTTCCTGAAACAGAGTATAACACTGGTTCTGTTTAAGAAGTCTTGAGCTTAGTATGAATACAACACCCACCCTGAGGGCTTCTCAAAAGAAAAATCATATAGCTATCTTACAATGCTTGTTTAGAATAAATACTTTGCCATTTCCTAAGAATAAACTAATTTCAATGTAAGGTAATTTTTGAAATAATCTACAAAGAGGTAGGAAAAAAAATCGTTCGTCTTACTTTTAAAGCTCTGGAAGTAGAAAATATGTTGCACCTGTGCTTAAAATTCATTTAAGGTTTACCATTAATTTCTTATAAATATCATCTCTTTAAGGGGTTCTGTCTACTGTTAATGCATGTGTGGTTTCCTTTAAAGTTTGTGAAATTTAGGGTTCTCCTCGAGTAGGAGAATACATCTCTCAGTCCTTTGGACAACTGGAATCTGAATTGCAAAAATATGTTGGCTGTTGGTTGCACCTTTGAGGAAAAAAATTACAAATACTTTCCTCCAGTTTTTCTTTTTATATTAGAACTTTGCCTTTTTATTACTAACTTTAAAAACAGTGAGGTTTATGTTGTTTTAAGCTAGTGCTGTATTCAGGTTTGTATCTATAATGAATGTTTAAAATACACATATGTAAACTGGTCACATTATTCATTTTCTTCATCTTTCAGACATACTGATAGAGACTAAAACTTTAGGGCCACCTCCACTTCCCAGGTTTTTATGGAAAGAATAAAATTAAGCATTATGTTCAATATTGGATTGGGATTTCCTTCTAAACTCATCCATTTATTTCTGTGTTCTTCTGCGTTCATTGTCCATACAAAAAGGGAGCGGATAATAAAACATTGCTTTGTTTTGCTAATTAAGACTTACACTTTTTGGGGTTTTCATACTTCACAATGAAAAATGCATATTGCAATATTGGTGTCAGCATGGAATTCTAGACAAATCACTTGGCACAATAGGTACTAACCAATCCCCTCTATTCTTTTCATCTCATTTTATGCAACCAGCTGTAAGGACATTTCTTTTAATGAGTTGATACAACTGTGTGAGACACGCAGTATTGATTCATTTTCTGTGTTTGCTAATATCAACTACTGCTATTTCCCATCTATGTCAATTTTCCCAAATTAAGTAGCAGTCTTCTGATGAAATTGTTAGCTGCACTGCATTTTACAGAAAGCTTCATACAGGTACATGGTTTCATTGTGTTTTGTTGTTATTTTTCTGGACTGCTACGGAAAACTTCTCATTTGGACAGAAAGAATATGTAGGGTTAAAAACATATGCATGTTATCTAATCCTCTGTAGTTGATGCAGCAGTTTGGTAGCCTGAAATCTCATCAGCCAGAGGAAGGGAATTGGGACACTGTTTTCAAAAGACTGCAATCTATTCCAGATGTGTCAAATGCTGCATATTTTCCTTGCTATTTCCTGTGAGCTTGGTTAGGAGCAGCTGGCTCTGTGGTTTAGAGACACCTGGCCAGCTTTGCTTTGTGTCTTAGCTGGGGGGGGAAGAGGGGGGAAACGGGAAGCTCCAGGATAGCAATGAAGTTGACTGTAAACAGTTTTTTTTATGAATGCAAATAAGGCTTTGAAGTTTGGGGCAAAAACAGTTGAAGAAGGGAGATGGGGAGAGAAACTGCCATATTATTCAAGCAACTGGTATGAACGTAATTTCTTTAGTTTTGTCATCTGCTTTATTGATGTGGGCACCACAGGAAGATGGACATTTTGAATACAATTCAAGTAGCCTGTGACTCTTAATGCGTTTCAAAACTGATCCATTGCTCACACTTCCAGCCGTCTTACGGAGTGGAGGTTGTGACCACAACAAAGCTCTCCACAGCAAAGCTCTCACTTCGCTGTCTTACCTAGAGGACGGATGCAGCCCTCATCCTGCAACACATTTTAACCTAGTTTCAACACCCTGTTCTTTCTGGGTCCACTTCCCTCCCTTTGAATGATGACAGAAGGTGAGGAAAATGGCTTTATTCATATGCTGTCATAACATCAAAAAGCTTTTAATCTTTTTCCGCTTTCTGAAAATGTTTTCCCGTACTACTGCACTTCAGTCTCTCCTGTGTGATTGCTTGCATTGTTCACTTGAACAGAAGGCTCATCTCATAAAATTCCTTGACTTCTGAAGGGAAGGTGAATAATCTGTGGTGTGGAAATAAATATATCTCAATAAGGAAAAATATATTCCTCTAATTATGCTGAAACTTGATTAGCATATGTGCACAGCTACCCAGAAAGAGTAGAGCCCAGTGTATTGTTTATCCTATGTATGTGGTTCTCCACTATCCCAAGACCCTATTTTTTTTCTGATAATTCCCAGGATAGTTTTATCATCTGTCTCTTTACTTAGCATATCCTTGCCACTTCCACGTCCCTTTTCCTTTCTCTGTGCGCTTGGTGTGCATCCCACAAGGACAGGCAGAAGGCTGCCCTACTGCATTTTGGATGCAGTTAAAAAATAAACCACTTGGCAATTTCTAAGTTGCTTTTTTTCCTTCTCTGCAATCATGGTTTATATTTTCATACCTCCCTATTTTACAGGTAACCCAACTTTTTAAAATCTATGACTTTAAGACAACTGAAAAATGCTTAAAATACACCTGCTGTAAGCATTTTGTGTGGAAGTAGAATTAAAACAACAGCAGAATAAGGTTTAGGTATATTTTCCTTTATCTCCTGGAGTGTCTGCGCGATCAACTTGAAGCATTTCTCTTGGTACGTAATTGTTCTTGAAGCATTGCAAACAGCAGCTCTCCAGCTGTTACTCTTTTTCTGTGTGTAAAATGGAAAGGTATATATTAAACAATCTTAAAATGTTTTGGTTCTTTCATCCTGAGGGATGGTTACAGTTATCCCCACGTTTTTGCATCTGTTTTTGTGGTCTTCACTCTTAATTTTTCTTGTGGTCAAAGAAACACTGTGTTTGGGGGGGTATCCTTAGTGTAATATGAGAAGTTGTTCATTGATTCTTCATTATACGTTGCTGCACAGATGCCCATCCTTCTTAATTTTCTAAGTTGGTGTAGTCCCATGACTTCCAAATCCCCTGGTTTCACATGGACAGGCTGCTGCTATAAATTGTTTATTAGTAAAATAACTAGAAAGCATGCTTCGCTTGGATGTGTTCATTAATTGAGGCTTGTAGTTCAATGTAACTGCAGTAGCATTGCTGGTCAGTCCACTTCCACTGCTGCTGTAGGAGTTGAGGAGCTTGCTTCTGGAGCCTGAAGTCTCAGGTGTATTTTTTCCATTAGTGGTGCTTGGGTGTTTGAGCAAAGTCTGCAGGTCTTGCTGGTGGAAGTGTTACTGGAATAAAGCCAGTTTTAATCATCATGTAATTTGTAGCATGAGCACCTGTGGGACCATTGCTTAGCTCTTCTTTGGTCTCTCACTGACTTCTCATTAATGAATTAATTTGACGGTATCTCTTGCAACTTTCACAGAAAGTCTTTGTATGGATTATCATCTTGGAGGATGACAAGCAATTTTTGATGCATTGGATTTACCTCTGTGCCTGTCCGAACAAGGATCTTCGGAAGGCAGCCCTATCAGTTCACTTCTTCATATACACAGACTAGGGGAAATAAATTCTGCAGATTAAATTGATAAGACAAATACTACTATTTCTACTTAAAGTGTGAAACACATCCCACTTAAGCTGTTACTTCGAAAATAGTCTGATACTATGGTTAAGCCAAACCAGGAATTTTTATTGTAAATAATTAGCAGCAGCCAGTTGTAGTGTTACTATACTTTGGATTTTCAAGTGTTTCTATTTTTCCTTTTTTCCTGAGGAGACAAAGTTTTGGGGTTTTGGTTGGTTGGTTGGTTGGTTGTTTTTTTTGTAGGAAACTCACAACACTCATTGCAGTTCTGCTGGTGTTCATCATAACAAGGACATATGTTAAATGCAAAAAACACAGCATAATCCTGTGGTTAAAAAACTTAAAGTGTTATGCATTCAGGAGACTTAAATGTTTCTGAATTCTGACTGAAAGCTGATGTGATGTGTTGGACTTGGCAGGTTACGTATGGCTTGGCCTGATTCCTCTTTCATAAGGATGGTGAGTGTTGCTGCACTGTGTGCCCTGGCTGTGTCACGAGTTCAAGATGAGATTGCTGTGTATTAAGCAGAGATGTGCTGTACTTTCTCTTTCACAGGGGAGGAGTGCTTGGACCTTTAACTCTGGGTTTGCAACACCTGGCATAGTAAATATTTCAGGTGAGATGATGGGAGCACATCTGAGTGCAGTGCTTACCCCTTTCCTCCCAAGTTGACCAGTCACTTTGTCCATCTATGTTATCTGTGAAAAGGGCCCTTAGGTTTTCTTTTCTTCCTGAAGACAACTGGAATAGCAAACTCTTCTCCACTTGGACAGGGAGAAGGAGATCCCAGCTGGGTGTCCAGGAAGGCGCTTGGCCAGCAGCTGATAGCTTAGCTGGCCCCACGGAAATGCCTTTGGCTGTTTCCCTGCCTTGCCAGCAGGGCTGCAGTCTGCAGCCCTGTCTTGGATTACACAATCTGCCTGGCACATAGCAGCCTTCTCAGTTCCTGCA